AAAATTGCTCAAGAGACCACAAATTGCAATGCCTCTGATGAGATAAGAGGGGAAAAAGAGGATGTGGCAGGCCAAAAATTGATTAAGCTGTGAGAGATGACTTCAGATGACTGTCATTCATTTATTGTAACATTTTTCAGCTGTGACAATCTTTTTATGCACCTCAAACTGTATGTATGGTCCTGTCAGTCATTCAAAGGACAAAGCATTTTTTTTGTATTTAAGCAATGGTTTAAAGTTAAAAACGTTACCACAAACACAAATATTTTCACTTGATATGATGATAATTGATGGACTGGAGTCGTGTGGATTACTTGTGGATTATTGTGATGTTTTTTTATAAGCTGGACTCTCATTCTGACGGCACCCATTCACTGCAAAGGATCCATTGGAGAGCAAGTGATACCATGCTACATTTCTCCAAATCTGTTACGATGTACAAACAAACTAATCATCAACAATCATGTAGGACAGCCTGAGGTTGAGGAAATGTTCAGTAAATTTTCATTTTTGAGTGAAGTCTTTCTTTCATTTGTATCCATTCTGATAATACAGGTGGTACAATAGAAATCTACATAATGAGCCACTGTAAATTATGTTGTAATTCATAATGTTCCTCTCAAAAAACATACATTTGACAGTATTTTACATTAAAATGACATATACAGTAATGCAATGTTAAACTATTTTCCCCCATAAAACACTTTTAGAGTGCATATGCATTGGGCCCTTCCTTCAGTGTATGTCTCTGGGATTTTTCACAGACATGCTCTGATCTTAAAAAACAATAGCACACATCCATTCAATAAGCCATAATATTCGAGGAACAGCACAAATGGTGCAGCACAAGGTACTGCAGTTTAAAACTTAGGGTTAGGGGTCTGTACCAATAACCACTAAACGTATGTAAGGATGTTTGCATTAGCTTATTATTTTAATTCAATTATTTGTGTTTAAAATATATTTTTACACTTAGTTTCATACTAAAACATTATTTTACCAAAACAAAATAGCATAGAGTAAAACAATTAGGTAATAAAGAGTATAATTTGTTTTGTCACTTTGCAGTGCTTGATGTGGAGTTGCACAACACCATTCATTATATTATCTTTATTATATCAATGACACTAGGGTTCATGATGCTGTAATGTTAGAAATGTTGATGCTTGGGTCTTCATTTACATTTTCCACTAGATGGCGCTAGTAATCCGCAATGCATTTTGTATAAATACAAGATGCATTTTTGTTGTTGCTATGGACTATGTTGACAAGAGTGCTGTAGAAGTAGCCTATTTACCATGAAGTTTACACTGGTGATGTACCTGAGAGAAAACGGATTTCACAGTAAGTGATCTAATTTTCAGCAGTATATAAAAAAAAGTGTTTAAAGCTCGTTGTTTTGTAGAACATCATAGTTATATATGATATGAAAATAATAAGGCCTGCAGATAGTGAGTACGTGTTATTTAAGAAAAAATATATTATATTTTCAGAATTACATTTATTTTTTCCCCCAAACCTAGTCTGTGGGGTAAAATGCCCCCAGGGGGCGTGGCTTAATTACTGTAGTTACTCTGTTCTGAACATTAAATCCTTTGTTTTTTCCATCAAATGTATTGTAACTAGGTGGTTGAATAAAAAATATTTGGACTTATTTAAGAATGAACTCAAGTTAGCATCAAGTAGCTAGTTAGCTAGCCAGTTAGCATCAGCTAACAATTTTTTTTTTTCAAATAGGCTATTATAATTTTGTAATTCATAATTATTGATTATATTATTTTACATTTTAAGCTAAAACTGCCTGTACTCTGATTTTGCTGTGAATGTATAAAGCAAATTGCTTTGTCAGACTGGAGGCATTTTACCCCACCCATGGGGGCATTTTACTCCACCTGTGGGGCAAAGCCCCCCCTTTAAATTTTTGTTAAAAATGTAATAACATGAAAACTCTGGACATTTGTCATACTTTTTATTTATAAGTTTATATGTTATGCCATTGTCACTAAAACTATTCTGGACACATGTAACTTTTGTTTCTCACATGACTAAATGTTCATGTCAATCTGTGTTCATTCTGACCAGAACAATGCACTATCACTTTAATTCAGCGCATGCATACGATTGTCGGCGTCGTCAGAAAACTTAGGAAAGACTGTATCCAAACTGGAGCTGGTGCATCTGTAGGCATCCATGATAGAAAAAAAAGCATAATATAATATAATATAATATAATATAATATAATAATATTGCATGGCTCTGTGGAATACTTGATTCTGATTGGTCAGTCGCGACATTCCGAGGTCTGTTATCCCTCGATAACAACCGGTAAAAACTAATAACACAGGCTCATCCGGGTAACTGAAGTCGGCACTGTACTCTTGCCAGGAACAGTTATTTCTTGGTGGAAGCTTTGTGTTTGTTTAGCTAATAAAATATTAAAACTCGATTCAAAATTGTGTACAATTATTTAATTATGTCATCCTGGTATCGCGGACTCGCTCTCTCGTTTCAAACGCTGCCATTTTGCTTCGATTGTTTTGTACGCTGTTATGGAATATAAGATAACTAACAAACTGGTAATATTTTAAAACATTTTGCGTTAAAACATTTTTGCGTTCAAATATTTCAACTCAATATTTTGTGTCTAATTATTTACTTATGTGGCAAGTAGCCATGTAATAAGCGGGATAATGTACATCCAGCTGGTTGTTATCGCTGAATAACCCCCTTCATGGTGATATCACCCTGTCGGGGGTTAGCCTATATACATTCGTGATAGGCCTGCATTTTAAAAGAAAAATTTGATTTTCTACCTCAAAATCAGTTTGTATTTTTTACTCAGGCAGAGATTGAAGATGCTCTGAATAACTGTCATAACTCTAGCACTGTAGAAGATATTTGGTGTGTCACAATTGCCCCCGGTTCCAATGGCCAACAGAAGAGTGAATGTAAACTTCTCTGCCAACACCCTGTCACCACATACAGTTTTGCAAATCAATCATTTCTGTGTTTGTACACGGTGCAATGATGTCTAATTCAGCAGTTAAATATTGATGTCCTGTACTGTGGTCCTGGTGAGCTTTGCATTGAAACTTATATCGTTTGGACTGCATTCTTTTACAATCATTTTGGTCTAAATATAGGATGTAATGATTTTTCTAGATAGTTTCTGTTTCCACTGCAGCTGTGCAATAGATTCATGTTCCTCATGAGAACAACAATCATCATTACCAGAGTTATTTTGGGTCTGGCAGATTCCTGAAACATTAATGTGAAAAGACTGACACCAGAAAGTGAGAAAAGGAGAGACAATGGCTACGTTTACATGCACAATTTTTGGTTAAATCGGACTGAATTCATTCCGATTGATGAATCTGAATGTAGTGTTTACATGAACGATAAATAAAGCAATCGGGTTGATGTGTGCGTTTATATGTCACAAGCTTCAAATCGGAATAGATTTTTTTTTT